AGAACCCTCCTTTACGCAGTGTTTCACATGCATTTTTCCATTTTGGAGAACACCCATCTGTGCCTCGTCCTCACACTCCTGAAGCAACAACGAACATGTCTTCATCTCTAGCGCACCAGGCTCTTTTTCTATGTGCACAATCTCACTTAGTCCTCACAACAACCCATTTTTACAGATGAGTCAACCGAGTCCCAGAAGGTAATTGATCTGCCCAAGGTCACACAGCGAACAAGCAACAGAACCCAGAGGTCTGACTCCAGCACCCAAGTTTTAGACTTTACTTACCTGTGTGTCTTGTGCCCACTAGTAGGAAGGACCCGTCTAGCTGTTCTCATGTTGAGTTCTGCCTGCCTTTCGCAAGCCTTGCTTTTCCAGGCAAGCTCCTTCCAGGCTAAACCTGCATGTCTACCCAAGTGATACGCTGGACACAGCGAGTTCACACCAGTTACCTCCGTGGTTACTCTGACCTCTGCTTTGTGTGATGACTACCCACTCACCCCTTGTTAGACAGAAACTTCCAGAGGTCCCTCCTGCAGCGAGGGCCCCAGGAGGCCAGTGGCTCTCCCTTCCCTCCAGCCTCTTCCTTCAGATGGCTGGCATTCTCACTGGTAGACGATTTCTTTTATAATATCATTGAGATCTAAAGCAAAATGAAATCTGAACCTTGGGTATGTCTCGTCTCCATGGAAACGGCTTCAAGCCTGAGTGCCTCCAGGAGATGTGTGTGCAGTTCTTCCAACTGCCGTGGAAATAAGCGACTGGGAACTGGACAAAGCTAAAACAAGGTTCTGTCAGATTAGTGGCAGTTTTAATAATAACCACGACATGTTCAACATAGGATTATGTCATCATCAGCAGCATTATCAGCCTGTATTCTCCATTTTCGACAGTGTTCTAGCTTGGTGAAAAGCATGCCAGCCAAAGGAACGACAGTGCAGATCTTTCTGCCTACTCTTGTGAAAGGACGTTTTCAACTCTATTAGGGTGGCACAAGAAATGTGGTAGGAAAAAACATAAACAGTCATCAATTTCAAGAACATTCTGTAGAAGCACTTTTGCTTCTGGGAATGGGAAACCAAATTTTTTCCCAAGAGACTCCATTATTAAAGCCATAAATAAAACATCCCGGATTCGACCGCTCACTTGCTTTGCCTGTGTGACCTTGCTCTGGAGGGTTAGCTTATAATTTGAGACAGGCAGGGCCAGGCACGGTGGCTCACACCTATAATCCAGCACTTTGGGATGCTGAGGTGAGAGGACTGTCTGAGCCCAGGGGTTTGAGACAACTTGTCGCTACCGGCAACCACTTAAGTTATCGTGAGGTCAAATACAGTAACAGCCATCAAGTGTCCAGCACACATGGACCTTAGCAAGTGTCACTTGTCTTGTCACTTTGATGAGCACTAATAGCACACAGAACATTTAGGATTCAACACTCATCCCTCTAACCCCAACTCTACAAAGGAGACTGACACCCAGACTTTGTCTCTACAATAAATAAAAAATTAGCTAGGTGTAGTGGCACGTGCCTGTAGTTCCAGCTGTTTGGAAGGCTGAGGTGGAAGGATCACCTGAGCCCAGTGGGGCAAGGCTACAGTGACCTTGAGCGTGCCATTGCACTCCAGCCTGGGCAACAGAGTGAGACTTGGACTCAAAAAAAAAAAGAATTTGAAATAGACAGTCTAGGGGAAGCTGGGAGGCCAGTGAGTCTGTGAGCATTCTGCCTCCTCCTCTGCAGCCTATTGCCTGCACAACAGACCAGGGTGCAAGGATAACGAGCACATTTTACTTTATTAAAGAACCACCAGCCGGGCTTGGTGGCTCAGCCTGTAATTCCGCGCCTTGGGAGGCTAAGGTGAGTGGACTGCCTGAGACCGCAGGTTCGAGACCTGCCTGGGCAACTGGGTGAGACCTCATCTCTACAATAAATCAAAAATCAGCCAGGAGTGGTAGTGTGCGCCTGTAGTTCCAGCTACTTGGAAGGCTGAGGCGGAAGGATCGCCGGAGTCCAGCAGGTCGAGGCTGCGGTAGCTGGGAGCGGGCACTGCGCCCCAGTCTGGGCGACAGAGTGAGACCCCAACTCAAAAAAAAAAAAAAAAAAAAAGAACCACCAAAAATGGTAACCATAAAATTTGAGGATGATTTTGTTAGCTGACCTTTCCATCCGCACTCTCTTTCTTCTTCTCAGAAATGTATACACTACCCACTAAGAAGTAAAAGCAAGGAGTGTGGCACAGGGACCACTAGCCTGATTGCCTAAGTGTTCTGGTTTCAAGTCCCAGTGCCGCTACTTACAGGCCCAGTCACCAAGGTCACTTTAGCCTCTCCGGGTGTCAGTGTCCTTTGTAGAGGTGGGGTTAGAGGGATGAGTGTTGGATCCCAAATGTCCTATGTGCTATTAGTGCTCATAAAGTGAGTTATAGTCACTCAGCAAAAAGACACGTGACACTTGCTAAGGCTCATGTGTGCTGGGCACTTGATGGCTGTTACTGTATTTGACCTCACGATAACTTATGTGGTTGCCAGTATTCCCAATCTACAGATGATGGCAACTACTCATAATCGCAGTGACTTTCTCAAAGGGGTGAATGTATCAACATGCTGTCAGGCTTCAAATCCCCATCTGTCCAACTCCAAAGCCAAGGTTGTTTCCACCTGACTCTGCTGATTTCTGAGCTCATGAGCTGGGGATAAATTGTTAACATTATTTTAATTCAAAATAAATACAACTCAATAGTTCTGTCGTTTTCAAGTAATTTGCTAATGGCTTGAAAACTGCAGTTTCTCTAGCCATTCTGCCCCTATTAAAATAATCCCATATCACTTGAGAATTAGAAGTATCTTTATGTAATTAGTCTTTTTTTTTTTTTTTTTTTGAGTTGGAGTCTCACTCTGTCGCCCAGACTGGAGTGCAGTGGCCGCTCCCGGCCACCGCAGCCTCGACCTGCTGGGCTCCAAAGATCCTTCCACCTCAGCCTTTCAAGTAGCTGGAACTACAGGCGCGTGCTACCACGCCCGGCTAGTTTTTGATTTGTTGTAGAGATGAGGTCTCGCCAAGTTGCCCAGGCGGGTCTCGAACCTGCGGGCTCAGGCAATCTGCTCACCTCAGCCTCCCAAAGTGCTGGGATTACAGGCTGAGCCACCAAGCCCGGCTTAATTATTCTTTTTAAGATTATACAGTTTATATTAACTTGATTGTGACATGATCTTTTGTGAAAATTTTTTTAACTTTTAATTTATTATTTTAAAGATGTGGGGTACAATTCAGGATTAGGTATACAAATGTTCATTATGCAGGGACCCTTGTTGAAGAGGTGTGCCTCCCTCTCCCCCGGCAGATTCCCACTACCGGTATTCCCGCCTCCTCCCCAAACCCCAGCAGTTTCTTGCTACTGCCAATCCTTTTCTTATAGTATTACGATAATTGTTCAAGGTCCACTTATTAGTGAGAACATATGATTCTCAGTTCTTTGTTTCTATTATACATCACTCAGTATTATAGACTTTAAGTCCATCCAGGTTGCTGTGAAGTTCATGATTTTGTCCTTCTTTATGGCTGTGTAATATTCCATAGTGTATATGTACCACATTTTAAAAATCCAGTGCTCTTTTGATGGGCAGCATGGACAGTTCCATGTTCTTACTATTGTGAACAATGCTGCAATAAACATCTGTGTGCAGGTATCTTTTTTCATAGAGTGATTTGAGTTCTTCCAGGTATATTCCCAGTAGGGGGATTGCGGGGTGAACTTTAATTCTTGGTTTGTCCCTAGCTGCTCTGGAGAGTTACCCCTAAACAATTGCCCCATGGAGATGTTGTCATGTGTTAGGATACCTTGATCATTTTCATGTGGGCAAGTTTTTGGATTTTTACCTTTTTAAATCATTCTGAACTGAAAGCAATACTTTTTCCCCTGAAAAACATAAAACCGCAGCGCTATAATCAGCAGGCCTGCAATCCTGTAAAAGAAAGGTATAATACAACTCCACTCTTCCCCAGTTCTAAGCCCTATGCTTCCAATGCTTGAAAGGCCAGGATTTCCATTTTATGAAAAAAATCAAAGAGAAGAGAATAAAATAGCCATGACATTTTGGGTGTGTGCTCAGATCTACCAGAAAGGTTCCTGTTGGTAGATATTCATCACAGGCTGGGGCCACACATAGGGTGCGGGCTTACAGAATTGTAACAAGAGTTAAAATCCCAGCTCTCCCACAGGCATGTTATTCATACTCCTGAGCCTGTTTCATCCCCTGTAAAATGAGGGGTGGGGATGATTGTGAAAATTAAACAAATAAGATACACAAGCATCAAATATAATACTCTTCATCTCCTTCCTAGTTCAAAATAGACTTGAGCAACGTATAGTGGTTATTTTATTACTGACTTCTGTGTGTCATGCACTGGATCGAACCATTTCCCCAGATTATCTAAGGGGAATTCAGTGTTTGGACTGAGGTGCTTCAGAGCCAGCCCTGTGTCCTGCTTCAGGATACCAGCCATTTATTGGGTTTAGCGTAAAGCCTTTATAAACAGTTGTGTCAGCATTAAGCAGGTGCCTATGAGGATCCAGCATGAGGGTCCTGGCTACTGTGACTGGAGATGTGGCCCGCAGTGGGGAGGACCTCGCAAAACCCTTCATTCTCCCACCCTGTGACTTTCAGCTGCCTCAGGTTAGTTTCCCTACTAGACATCATGAATGTCAAAAAAAAAAAAAAAAGATTATGAGATAAATAAATGCAAATAATAAACAAAATTATTTACCTTATGTAGGAAATATTTTGTGCTCAACTTCTCCATTCCCCTTTCTTAAGCATACTAACATAAACAGATTTTTAAAAAGTGGTTACTTTTCCACCATCCCCATTAATTCGGTGTCCATCAAGCATTTATTCAGCACCTACAATTAATGGAAGGGCCCAAGGCTTACACCTGTAATCCATTAGAGAGTATGAAAAAATGACAACAGACATACACACATTGCCGACGTGGTACCTACTGACTGTGGTTTCGGTTGCTCTCCCTTGTTTCCCCAGCTGGGTATTGGCATCGCACCATGGTGCCCAAAGGGCAAAGTGGGCACAAGAGGGAAGAAGCAGATATTTGAAGAGAACAGAGAAACCCTGAAGTTCTACTTGAGAATCATACTAGGGGCCAATGCCATTTACTGCCTTGTGACCTTAGTCTTTTTCTACCCATCTGTGCCTCATTTTGGGCCTGGATGGCCCTGGGCTTTAGTCTGGCAATGTATGGGGCCCCAGCTACCACTTTATGAGTTCAGTGGCACAGGCAGCCTTCTCTGAGTATGGGCCTTGATAGGTGGTGGCATGGACCTCAACATGGAGCAGGGCATGGCAGAGTACCTCAAAGATGTGATCCTACTAACAGCCATCGTGCAGGTGTTCAGCTGCTTCTCCTTCTACATCTCTAGTCTTTCTGGCTTCTGGCTCCAGGCTGGGCCCTTTTCCTCCTGTGGGTGAATGTGCTGGGCCCCTGGTTCACAGCAGACAGTGGTGCCCCAGCACCAGAGCACAATGAGAAACGGCAGTGCTGCCAGGAGCAGCAGCATATGAAGCGATTATAGCTATTGACATTGTAGCCACAGGCTGGGCCCAAGGGGGCTGCCTGGCTCCCACGCCTGGAGCATCGAGGGCCTAGTCCAGGGACCCAAAGTAGTCTGAGGTATAGGGTTGTTGAATAAATGGCTTGGAATACGGGGGAGAAAAAAAAAGACATCAAAGCCCAGCTCATATTTATCTATGGAATACACAATATTTTTCAGGTGGCATCGACTTTTGTAGCTATTTTGTTTATGATAATTTTCCAGTTTGCATTTCCTGAGCTTACTTATAAGCTATCAAGGTGGGCAGATTGAGAAAATGTCATGTGATCCACACCAGAATTAAAGAGGGTAACATTTGGAGCACGGTATAAGGGAAGAACCCAGGGCTGTGAAGTAAGACAGGCTGATTCCTGATCCTCTCACCAGTAGTGACAAAGCCTCAATCTCATCATCTACAAAGTGGGGATAATCAGCACCTGCCATCATTTTCCCACAAGATGGTTAGGACTCTCAGGATGACTTAAGTACTTCATTGTGAAGATCCTGCATGAGGTCAAGGTCATGTAGGAAAAAGTTATCAACAAAGCAGAGTCTGGCACAAACCAAGCACTCAGTGAACATTAGTGTTCTCTCCCCTCCCAGTCTCCCAGACAGCCAGTCTTGTGCATGTTATTTTTTCTCTCGTCCTTCTCTGCAAAAGGCAAACAAGAATGAAATGATAACAGGCATATCCACTGAAGCAAAACAGGTCACAGGAAGATAATATACTCAAGGACAAATAAAAGTCAACTGTAGCTAGGCCCAGAAGGGGTAGGTGAAAATTCACGGGAAGTAAAGACATTTCCTTTTTTATAGAATAGGCTTTAAACTATGATTACCAATGTGAACACACACACACTTGTGTGGTTTATATCTTCTTTCTTTGCCACCTATGCTGCCTGTACAATGTGGGAATGTCATAAGATGCAGACGGTTTTGAAAAGGTACTTTAAAATATAGTGTAAAGTGATGATGACGATGCCTAGATGAAACGGTCTAGAATGTGTTAAATGAGGTACCAGAACACAAAACTGTACTCACAATGATCGGATATACAAGGCTGTGTGTGCAGAGGGATAAGCCCGGAAGAGGGTACTTGGAAAACAAAAACAGTTCATTTATTAGGATGACAGAATTGCCTCCCCAAGGGTCTAAAATCAAATAGATGTTTAAAAAATATCTGTTGAACAACTGAGAAAATTTGGTATTCCCTATGTTAACTGTGAATATTGATCTGTAAGTTGATCAGAGATGATACCACTCCTTTGACATAATTTTGTTGTTTTACTTTTTTTGGGGGGGGGCATGACTTAATGTAATCCTATCTCACCAAAGAAACTGGTGTCATCAGAAAAGCTTGCAGAGCCTGTGAATATGGGGCTTAGTATACAGAACTGGATAAAGGTCACTCTTGCATTTCTGATATCTAAAGTCAGAAAAACCATTTGCAGATAAGCAGGAGACCTGCTTTCTATTCACTAATTGGTTGAGAGTCCTCGGGAAAAATAACCCCTTAGGGGCTCAGTTGACAGATCTGTGACTGTGGTTAGACAGATGACCTCCTGCAGGCCTTCTCAGTATTTTAAATGTGGAATGCCAAGATAAAACAGTCCCAGTCAATGAAGACAGATGAGCTCTCGAAAGAGTTAATATTTGAAAACTTTATTTTCTCAAATGAGCACCAACACAGATTGGAAATATGACAGAAACAATGCACTTTTCTCTAATACTGAATCACTATGTACAAATACAGGAAAAAGTGAAGACAAATTATTTGAAACAATTACCTTTGTTATTGAAGCAAAGTGACCTGAAAAATGCCACCAAACAAAAACAAAACAAAAAACTCAAACCCAACAAATACAGTTTGTAAACACAAGCATAAATAGACAGATTCTGTACTGAAGGATAGTCTCTGCAGGTTGGGAAAAAGGGAACTGGTTCCCACTTTCACCAAAATGTTATACAAAAACATATGGGCAGATAAAATTCAGTAACATGAGAATAGCCTTCAGAGTGTCTTCTTGACTTTACCTTTTACTACCAATAGATTTCATGACTGTATTTTAATTTTTTAAAAAATTAAACCTCTCTTTCCTCTTTCTAAACCTAGCACGTTTTCTCATTTGAGGCAGATTCTTTTAAAATTTGTAAGCTGATTGTATTCAAGATTTGATTTCCCAGCCTCTTTCTGAACCTGAGGCAATTTGACCTAAAAAAACAAAGTTGTTTACCTATAAGATATGTGTATTATTTTATTAATGTTCTTCTAACCCCAACCAGTTAATGTTTAACTTGATGTGGCTTCTAAAACAACTGGAGCCCTGGGATATGTGATTAATACACTCTCATCTCAGTTAGAAGCACAGATTTGACTCTGCTTGATCTTCACAAACAACAGATTTCCTTTACAGCCTGTAAAAGCTGAGCACACAAAGCAAGAAAAAGGAGCAAACCGACAACAGCTCCATGCTCAGAAAAACAAAATCCTCATGGTTCCTGCTGTTGGTCCATTCAGAAACAAAAACAACCAGAGAGAAAGAGAAGAAAAACTTTATGCGCCCGTGGTGTAAACTGTAGTTACAGTGTCCCCAGTAAAAAAGAAAACAGGAGGCACAATCCAAAGTGCTTTTACATACACACACACACACACACACACACACACACACACACACACACATACACACACAATTAAAAACACGATTCCAATTTGTTGGAAATTCTTTCAACAAGAAGAATCACTCTAAATGGTTACTACTAAGTTAACTTGATTTTATTTATTTTCTTTTCTAGCCAATACTGGTGCAAGAAAATATTTCAATTCTCAACCTGGTAATGCGCTGCAGAGTCTGTTCCACTGAGGAAAAAACACAGAGAGGCATTGTTTTAAAGCCTTGATCCAGATCAAAGTGATAGAGACCTTTAAAAAAAATATGTATTGGTGATCACTGTTTCCCTTAAAATATACTTCAAAAAATGCAGAGGAAACCATAGAATTTAAAATGAAAATAAAAAGTGCTCTCAGGGGATCTGAGAAAACAGCACCAAATATATTATTTAAAAAATTAAATATTATTTACAAAAGTATATTTCACAAGCAACTGTTTTTTTATATATATATATATATATATATATATATATATATCTCCACTGGAAAATCTTTTTATAAAGGGGACACTTCTTTTGCACACATTGATCCATCAGTAAAGGTTTATTCTATCCTATCCTTGTGATCTTGCTGTCACAGAAGTTGGAGCAGAACTATTCAGTCAGGGCCAGCTGACAACATGTGGGTATCAAGTCTGGCTGTATTTGATTAACGTCAAATCAACCCATCAGCTGCCTGAGACTAATGTCCTGGGGATCTGGGTATACTCCAGGGTGGCCAAGATTGTATGACCTAGGGTGGCACAGAGGAGATGGAGCTAGAGAGTCTGTTGGCTGGACTTCAGTTCAAAATGAAGGCAGCTGCTGGCTGAGGTATAGAACTTCCTGCCTTTCACTTTCTCTCTTCTCCCTTTTCTAATCTCTACTCCCCATACCCCTCCCCCATGCTTTTCCAACAAACTCACTCCCATTCCCTGAACCTACCTGGGGTGAATGAATGAGGTCTTTGGTTATGCTCTGAGTCAATAATTTGGTGAGGAAATTAAAAAATGAACTGACAGAGGCCATGAGTTAATGTAATGTCTCCACTGCTCAGCTGTGGCCTCTCCAATACTACTAAATGTTAGATAGACAAGCCACGAACAGAGCTAAAGTTATAAGAAGCACTTTTGGTTTCATCGACACAAAGGGAAAGCCTAATGAGTTTTTTCCCCCTGTAGTTATGGAAAAACCAACACTCAGATCAAGCACCTATCAGATGCTCAATGGATAATAATTGGGAAGAAAAAAAACCAAACAAACAGAACCAGGGTCTGATTGGAGCCTGCTCTGACCCATGCAACAGTCAAAGGCCTCATCCCCAAGGAAGAACAGTGGCACATGGGTCTCTTCCTCTGCCCCTTGGAAATTCCAGGGTACCCTATGTCCGGTTTCTTTATGACACCACACTCCATTTTTAATTTTAAAGACAAAACACCTACCCATGTTTAAGCCCTATTTTTTTTTAAATGAAAAAGATCAATAAATAGCCAGGACACTCCCTGAGCAATGGGTCTAATCAAAATCCATAAACAAAGACTACTTCCATTAAGAGGGAAAGGAAGAGGGGAAATCCATGCTTTCAGTGCTGGCAAGCCAGCTTAGGAATGTGAAAGTTGAAAAACGTGTTTTACTCTGAACTTGGGGCTGGGAACCAGAGTAACTGTTTCTCTGGGAGCAGAAATTAAATACTACTGCTGAACCTCAGTCTACCTTGTAGTAAAGTAGGGAAAACAACTTACTTAATCTCCCAGGGCTTACTAAAGCATCGGAAAGATTTGGATGAGAAGTCTTGGGGGACAAAATTTGATTTCTAAGAATCTGTCTTACAGAGGTGCTCTACTGCTAACCCTGCTTTCTGTCAGCCCTGCCATTGCTACCGGCAGGGCAAGACCACATCTATCACAGGTCTCCCATTGTGCCACCAGAACATGGAGACACACAAAAGCATTTTCGCCATGGACTCACTCCCTTCGGAAATCCGGATCTGCTGCAGATGCAATTCTGAAAGTGTCCTGGGCTAGCTGCTTTAATCTTGGTTAATCAATTTTACAGATTATCTCCATGAACTCACTCTTGTAAGTGAATTTCCTATAGGATCAGCCCACTTGGAGAATGAGATGCTGAGAGTTACCTAACATACACATATCTTAACAATAATATTTTCAGCCTAAGAAATGAAATTAACTCAGTTAGATGAGCTCGACCATGCACCGTGTACTGGCTGAATTGCTGTAGAACAGACTTCACAGTGTTGATTAATGTAACAAACTCCTCTGTCTCTCATGAGCTTTATAGGAATTTGTTCTCCACTTCCCTAATATAATAAAGTTTGGTGGTGGGGGCAGGGGGTAATATTGGAATATTTAATCCCGCCCTGCTGCTGGACCACACAGACAGGAGATTTCTCTCCACACAAGACATCAGGTCCAAGGAAAACAACTTAGGGGCATGAGGAACCACTAGCCTGGTTGTCACTAAGCTCAAAGCCTGGGCCTGTATTTTCCACAGTCTACGATGATAGATAGAACTAGAGGTAAACACTTGAAACTCTAGGAGCAAAGAATTGCTGATCCCACCGAATCACCGCATATCCAAGGAGGAAAGATACATCTAGCCTGTATTGGTTCAAATCTAAACTATTCCTGGGATTGCCCCTGTCCAACCCTCTTCTCCTCCTTTGCCATGTTACTTATTAAGGGTCAGAAAAAAGGTCAGACAGAATTGCTAACTGATACTCCTTTTTATTTTTCGGTCTCAATATCCGAGCTATTTCTTCAGGAGCTCCCAAACTGCAGCCCCCTTTGTTCCCTGCTCTCAATTCCTGATTTACTTGGTTGCTGGTCAAAGCCTTTGGGATATTTGGATCTTGCGCCCATTGCGAAACAGCAGTCCCCTCTCCCTCTACCTGTGGTGGCTAATGAGGCAAATAAGTTGACTGCCCAGAGATCAAGTGAGGCATGAGTCATCAAAACCCACCCGGCCATTACTTAGCTCACTCACTGCTACCAGGACACTCCCTAACTCAGCCCAGAAGAACCAGGCCCTTGCCCCACCAACTAGAATAAGGGCCACATTTTGTGCTCATTTGCTAACCTGGCACATTTGGTGTCAGGAACAAAAGCTTCTGATCAGAGAGAATGCAGTCATGAGGTATATTTTTCTCTTTGTCCTTTTAGACAAGTTATTTCAAGCCTAAGTCATCAGGTCTCCAGGAGCAGCACAATTTTGTTGCTACTTCCACCTTCCCACCCATTGCCCACCCCAGGACCCTCAGGGTTCCCCCTTTTCCCTCTTCCTCATGCCCCCGTGCCACTGTTCTCCTGACAAGAGGCCATCAGGCAGCTCTTGCATGGGCCCTGGGCCCTTATCAAGGTGGGCTGCCGCCATGTGGTCAAGGATCTGTTCCTTTCGTTGTTTAGTTTTCAGCCAACACTAGAACAGAGAGAAGCCAGGATCAACTCACAAACAGATACAAAGCAAAGAGACAGAAAGACAGCGATTTAGAGGCCAGTCACCAGAAAGATGGCGTCAGGGTGGGAGGATGCCCCAGATGGCAAGGCCCCTAAATGGATGGAACCAAGTGTCAGTCACTCTCTCACGCTTGGGAAGAATGTTCGGTTGGATGGCATTCACGTGGACACAGGGTTGGGTGGATGCTGTCCAATCAGTCCCAGCCATTGTCCTTGATCATGTGTGCTAGTTCAATGATGTATTTGCCTTCTTTATATTTCTGGCTGCTTTCAAAAGCATGTTCCTAGGAAATACAGAGGGAAAAGAAAAGACATTGAATGGCCGAAGACAAGAAAGTGACTTTTGTAGCATGGAAGCAGAGGCCTTGCTGATAACAGACATCAGGATCACCAAGGTCTGGTCCCAGTCCCCCAGACTAACTGAGCAAATTTCTACCACCCAACCACACTATGTCCCCTTCACTTAGCTGCAGAACTCAGGTGACACCAGGACTTTCTCAATATTAAAAGAATTTCTTCAGGGTCTTTGTTCACTCAAGTCTTTGCTCACATGCCACCATCTCAGTAAGGTCTTCCCCAAATATGCTACTTAAGATTTCAACTTCCACTCTAGCACTCCCTCTCTCCCTCCCCCCAACCCCTGCTTTATTCTTCTCATAATACTTATCACTTTCCAACATGCATTATAATTTAAATTTATATTTTGTTTATTGCCTGTCTCCTATGACTACAATATAAACTTCTTCATGGAATGCAGAGGCTTTCATGTTTAATTCACTGCTGTATCCCTAGAAGGCTGCCTGGTACATAACAGATCTTCAATGAATAATTGCTGAATGAATGAGTATACTTATATACATATGTACATAAGTGTGTGTGTGTGTGTATCAGTGGAACTTGATTTATGATGCTAATGAATATTTGCCTATGGATATATCCATAAAGTTTCTGTGTCATTCCTGCTAGTTTCTAGAAACACAGGAAAGTTTGGTTCAATTTTATATTGTTAGGCTTAGGGAAAAGACACTTAGCGAGAGAAACAAAAAATCATGAGGCCAAACAGGGCTCCTCGCGTTTTCCTCGCTGTTTCTGTCAGATGTGTGGAGACAGAGCTGCATATATTAAACTACAGGCTGGAGACCTGGCAGCCCTTTGGCCCACCCAACTGCCAGGCCCCCAGAGGGAAAACTCAATACAAACCACCTGGCAGGTTAATTTTCTCAACCCGCAGCACCATGGCCTCTCCCAGCTAATAAACCCCACATTAAAAAAGTCCTGCAGGCCGGGCTTGGTGGCTCAGCCTATAATCCCTTGCCTTAGGGAGGCTAAGGTGAGTGGATTGCCTGAGCCCGCGGGTTCGGCCCGCCTGGGCAGCAAGACCTCATCTCTACAATAAATCAAAAAATCAGCCGGGCGTGGTAGCGCATGCCTGTAATTCCGGCTACTCGGAAGGCTGAGGTGGAAGGATCGCTGGAGCCCAGCAGCCCAGTGGCTGGGAGCGGCCACTGCACTCCAGTCTGGGCGACAGAGTGAGACTCCAACTCAAAAAAAAAAAAAGTCCTGCAGGGATGGAGGATAAAGGGCTATTTCATTTGCACAGACAAATACATAACATCATCTTGGTGTATTATCTGAAACACACTGGTCACCTACATCATGTGGCTCAGCTTTATATGTATAAGCAGTGGACATCAGTGCTTCCTCCCCAGCCCCCTAAATTAGTAAGAAACTAATTCGGAGGTTTTGGGCAGCATTTGTATCAACTGTATTTTCTGTTTTAGAGCTCAGGGGCTATGGACTTCAGAACAAGAGCTCGGACATGGGTCTCATGTTGAGAGAGGAATCCTTCCACAAAGTGGACAAGGAGAGGAGGGGGCCGATAGAGAACACACAAATGCACCACACGCATGAGAGCTGTGGGCTCAGCAGGACATTCCCCTGACACTTCACTATTCCCTGGTTCCGTGTGTGTATGTGTGTGTGTGTGTGTACACACACACAAACCCAGGAATGTAGTTTGTGAATAAGATCTTTTGTTCACAGTAATGTGTTCAGGGGAAGCGGGGAGGAGAGAGTAAAACTGAGAGTTTTTTTCTATTAAGAACCAAAACAAACAAAAAAACCAAAAAAACAAGTTAGTTGCCCTGAGCCACACAGACACATGCAAAATGTCAGAACTGGATTTCAATGGAAAGAGAACTAGATCTGGAATCAACAAACACCTGATAGATCTGGAATCAACAAACACCTGATAGACCCTGCTTCACTTACAAAACTGGGATATTTATACCTATTTCACTGGATTATTGTGAGGGTCAGAAGAAATAATGGAATGAAAGAATGGAGCCCTGGGCCTGGCACATATGAGGTAATGAAGATTTTGCTGTTGAGTGTTTTCCTACTGTCCTATGCATATCACTGCACTTGCCGAGCTGTTTTATTTGTTTCCATGTCAGCTTCCTCCCTGGCTGGCATCATGACTGCTAACATTTTGAGGGCAGATACTGGCTCTCATTCACTTCTGTATCCAGTCAAAGGCCTCCCTTAAAATTCTGTCAAATGAATCCATTGTTTTACCTGAACCTCAAGCAAAAAACAAAAACAACCCCAGCTGGGGTTTATCTTTCTTCTCTAATCCAACACATCCTCAGGGGAGTAGGATAGTCAAGAGGCCAAGAAACAGAGGAAGGGACAGAACATTTCTGGATAGTCAACATCAGAATTGTGCCCCCAGCCCCACCCCAGATCACCCCACGGAGGCCTGTGACTACACAGTGGGAGTAGAATGGCCAAGGCCAGTTTCTCTCACAAGGAACAACCAAGTCAACCACAGAAAGCTGTGGCTAGACCATCCTGGCATCACTGAACACAATGTCTAGGTTTTTTTCTTTCCCCTAATCCTGAACATTTCAAGGGAGATGTGAAAAATGTAATTTAAAGGCACTGTTGCCAAGTTCCACTGCAGATGCTACCTGTGGTGCTTTTCATTTTTATTTTTTAAAAATAATTTGCACATTTTCAAACTTTATTCAAACAGAACATACTTTTGTGTCTAGCATCTATTGCATTGTTTTATATATGTATTTTTTTCCAATAGACATTTTTTAAAGAGCAGGATCAGGCTCACAGCAAAACTGAGCAGAAAGTACAAAGACTTCCCATATGCCCACTACCTGCTCCCAGACTCCCCCATTATCAAAATCCCACACCAGAGTGATACATTTGTTATACCTGATGAACTTGCACTGACACATCATTATCACCCCACGGCAATTTCGACTTTTCCTTCAGGATTCTTCCAAAGCCAATGGCAGGTCATGAACCACATGACAGGATGGGAAATTTGAGACATTTTACACAGAATAAATTGCCTTCCCAGAGACAGGAAGACCAATTTTTCAAGATCCTCACAATGAGAGGACCAAAAAAAAGTGCTGTGCAGTGCATGTATGTACACATGCAGGTGGAAAAAGATTTACCAGTAAAAATAACAACTCAAGTTTATTTTCGCTGAACATATATTACATGCAAGGTGATAGAACCTAAGTATTTTAAATGCATTATCCTATTTAACAGTCAAACTGGGCCAGGCACAGTGGCTCAAGCCTGTAATACCAGTACTTTGGGAGGCCGAGGTGAGAGGATTGCGTGAGCTCAGGAGTTCAAGACCAGCCTGGACAACTTGGTAGGACCTCGTCTCTACAATAAATCAAAATATTAGCTGGGCATGGTAACGTGCACCTATAGTTCCAGCTACTTGGAAGGCTAAGGTGGAAGGATCATCTGAGCCCAGCAAGTTGAGGCTGCAGTGGCCATGAGCATCCACTGCACTCTAGCCTGGGCAACAGAGTGAGACTACGAGTCAAAAAAAACCCAAAACACTCAAACTGGCTGGGCATGGTGGCTCATACCTATAATCCCAGCACTTTGGAGGCAGAGGCTAGAGGATTGCCTGAGCCCAGTCTGGGCAACTTGGCAACACCTTGTCTCTACAATAAAAATCAAAAAATTACCCAACCATGATGGTACATGCCTATAGTTCTAGCTACTTGGAAGGCTGAGGTGGAAGGATTGTCAGAGTTCAGCAGGTCGAGGCTGCAGTGGCCATGAGCATGCCACTGCACTCCAGCCTGGGTGACAGAGTAGGACTACGACAAAAACAACAACAAATAAACACTCAAACCAACTCTGTAAGTATGAGGAAACTTATCAGAGAAGCTAAGTATCTTACCCAAGGACTCCCAGCCTGGTGAGTGATGGAACCCAAATTTGAACCTGACTTGGCTGCCTAGATGGTGCTTAACCACTAGCCAGAAGGATTTTAAGGGCTGTGTCTATGGTTGAATGGTGATGCTAATGCATGTTAGAACCATCATTCCCCACTATTAAAGCAACAGATCCCTGTCCTTCCCTCCTCTCACACTAGCAAAAGACTGCTCACTATTCCTCTTAAAGTTTTTTGCTGAGTTAAACAATAAAAGAATGATTATACATTTGAGAGAGTCCAGCCATGACTACATCTGACAGAGGATGTTAGCTAAGGTAAGGTTTGACAATGCCTAGCACATGGCCTAGGAAGTTATTTCAGGAACATTTATTGGAGCATCAAAGTATAGTGGGTTACTTAAGAGTATGGGCTGTATAGTCAGACTACTACATGGATTCCTATCCTGGTTTGGCCATTTGATGGTGAGGTAACCTTGGACAAACTTTTTTTTTTGGGGGGTCGGAATCTCACTCTGTTGCCCAGGCTGGAGTATAGTGGCATGCTCACGGCCACTGCAGCCTCAACCTGCTGGGCTCAGGCAATCCTTCCACCACAGCCTTCCAAGTAGCTAGAACTACAGGCACGCATCACCACGTCTGGCTAATTTTGTTTTTTTTTTTTTGAGTTGGAGTCTCACTCCATCACCCAGGCTAGAGTGCAGTGGTACACTCACGGCCACCCCAGCGTTGACCTGCTGGGTTCAGGCAATGCTTTCGCCTCAGCCTTATGAGTAGCTGGAACCACAAGCGTGCGCTGCCTTGCCCCGCTAATTTTTTGATCTATTGTAGAGATGAGTTCTCGCCAAGTTGCCCAGGCCATTCTCGAACTCATGGGTTCAGGCAATTCCCTCACCTCGGCCTCCCAAAGTGCTGGGATAACAGGCTTGAGCCACCACGCCCAGCCTAATTTTTTGATTTATTGTAGAGATAAGGTCTTGCCAAGTTGCCCAAGTTGGTCTCAAACCTGTGAGCTCAGGCAATCCTCCCGCCTTGGCGTACCAAAGTGCTGGGATTATAGGCTCGAGCCCCCGTGCCTAGCCAGGACAAACTATTAACCTCCTTAATCCCCATGCATAAAATAGGGATGAGGATAGCACCTAACCTCTAAGGGTGTTGTGAAGAATCAATTAAATAATGTATGCCTGGCACACAGTAAGCTATGAGGAAATGTCATGTGCTATTATTATTATTTATTCTAAAGGGTTATGTGTGTGTGTCTCGGGTGTGAAGGAATGAATAGAAGGATGTGTCAGTGAAAAGGGAAGAATGAGTGTGGTAGACAGATGACTGCATTGGGCACTTCTCTTTGGGCTCAGTTTTCTGCCCTGGTCTAAGGCAATCCCCCAAGGCCATGGGAAGCACGTAGAAGAAAGTGTTCTGCCTGAGGTCCTTGGCTATTCTACCTTTACAGCCCCTATACCATCTGGCCTCCTCTGTACTTACATATTTCCAGCCCAGAGTGGTTTTGCAGTTTTCACAGTAAATGTCTGCGACTGCATGCAGTCCTGTTAGCAACACTCGCTCTTCTGCAGGCCCACAGCCCACATTAACTCTATGTCAAGAGACAGAAGGACAGAGTGGCAGTTAGTAACATGCACATCAGTCATTCAAGTTGAGCTTCCAACAAAACATAACTGGGCAAGGCTGTCCCAAGGGAAGCCAACACTGAGGAGAGGGTGGTCTAAAACTGAAATCAATGACCACCCCCAAAAGGAGGTCACATGGAAATATCTCAGTTGGAAGGAATTTCAGATCTGCAAAAGTTCTGAGGCAGTGGGTCTATTAAAATAGGCTTTATGGGTGAGATTTTGCTTAGAATTTAATTTTTCTGACAAATACTTTTAATCTGTGCCTTAAGGGGACAAACTGACACACACTGTGAAGCCGATAGCCATGAGCACAGGTGCTCAAAGCTTACTTGAGGACTGGAAGAAGCCAGAGATGTCAAACGTGCCAGCAGTCTGGTCCTGATCACAGGGATGAGTGAGCCCCAGGTGTCAAATACGCTACACTCCTTCACAGAGTACCTAACTCAAGCCGATTACACTAGATTTCCATTTTCACAGTTCATCAGGCTTGTGTGAGCTCTGCCTTCCTTTCCCAGGAAAGAGGTTATACATCTTGTGCCAGGGGATGATGAGGGCTGTATAAACTGTGCATTCTCAGTAGGGGATGGAGCCTCTTCCCCAAGTGGGTCTTCCCTTCCTCCTCAGGTCCTCTGGCAGATCCTGCTGTCTTGTGTTTGCCCTTATTCTCTTCCCCAATGACATATCTCAGACCTCACTGTGAGACCTCCATGTTGAGGCTCTCTCAGAATCTCCTCAGTTTCTTCCTTATGAGATTACAGCCCTTTGATGTGCCTACTGAGTATAGTGTAATGAATACATTATTTTTAGCCAGAGATGCTACTCCCAAAATTTTCCAAAGGTAACTGACTGCCAACTGTGGAGAGTAATGCTCCACAAGAGTTTTTACTGTGGCAGAGAAGGCAGGATCCATTGTTTAATCATTGAGGGTTGCTTTTCCTCATCCCTCAAAATTTGCACCCAGGAATGGAGATACCATTCAGAGATACTTACACTGAGTTGAAGAGGTATGCTCGTCCTTGACTTCCTTGGAACGACTGAAATGCAAGAAAACAAATCAATAGTTAGATATCCATTTCACCAACCATTTGGGAAACCAACCCAAATCACAACAAGCATAACCTTCTAGGATCGACACAGCAAAAGGGAGCACTGCACCAGTTAATAGTCCAGTTGGCAGATGGCATGGGGGAGGAGGAGAAGGCAGAATAAAGAGAGCCACAAAGCTCAAACCAGCCCACACTTGGACTGTTTTCATCAGCCCAGGTGAGAAAATGGGGGAGAAAAACGCTGTCATTGAAAACATCTTCCCTCTTAACATCTCCTGGTATAATTAATCCACCTGAGATAATTACTCCGCATTGGCCTTTCCTGGTCCCATTTGATTGCAGCCATCTGTGCTATTCACAGATTTCCCAGGCTGCTGGGGCATGGAAACTGGTACAAGGACTTTTGCTTGCCCTCTTGGTCCAGCCCTACCAAATGTAGTAAAGAACCCTGACCCAAGAATACACTGTCAAACCCACACTTATCACTTGGCCTGCCTTCTGGAAAATGCCAACCACCGTGACAAGTTACAATCCTTCTAGATGAGAGCATGGGAGCACTCCTTTTGAGATGCAGGAAACTTGAGCTCTACATCACAGAAATGCTCATTAAGCAGCAATCCCATTTTAATCTCTAGCTTAATATGAACTTCTTTCTTCCGGCCAGAGGGTGGCAGGGAACAGAAGAAACCAGAGCCAGAGCTTGCCATGCAATTTGGCGTCTACTTCCATTAACACAGGCCCTGTTCGTGTTTTCCTCCTCTGGTTACACTGAGACATCTGCCTGACATGAGCCAGCCGTGTTCTGCATTGCTGCCTGCATTTTTAATGTGATCTGACAGTCATATCCTGAATTTAACATCCTACTCTGCTATGAAAACCACCCTAAAAACAAATAAACATAGGGCTCTCCCATGACCTGTCATTCAGTGACAGGCTAACAGATGACCAGAGGGTAGGAGCACCAGACAGGATCCAGATCACCACATGAAACAATTACTTTGTCAGATGCGCAACACAGGACTTCAGGGTTGGGTGCCACCAGCCAGAGTGAAAGGTAAAATTCTTTACTTGTGGGAAAAACTGCCCTTGGGACAGCTGGATTGTTGGTTGCCTCAACATTCACTCCCAAGTGCAACTGCAAGAAGCAACAGATGTTCCCCAGCTGCTGCCCAGACCTAAACCAATTCCCTCCTTTGTTGGGTCTGGGAAACATAGCAGCTCTCAGGTGACAACTGAGCAGCTATAAGTGTCAAAGTCCAAAACCTGAAAGTCCACCCTGAGTGTTTGGATGAGACAATGTCCTAGTGACAGAGGTCTAGACTTGGCCAAATTTTCAGCAAAACCTTGGAGCCCAAAGAGACCCCAAGCCTTCCAGGACAGCAAAAGTGTCAAGATCTGGCCCCACCCACCTAGTCTCTTCTCTTGCTAACTTTCCCTTTGTACCCTTTGCTCTAGTCTGGCTAAACCACACATAGTTCCTGGAACCTACATTTCACCATCTTTGCCCACACTGTTCCCTTTGCTGGGGAGGCTCTTCCACCTAACCAATCCCAACCCTCAGCTCCCCTCTTTAAAAAAAAAAAAATATATATATATATATATATATATATCTTCTAAATAGACAATATTTAGAAGAAAATGTGGATGAAAATCTTTGTGACCTTAAACACCAGCTCCCAAATAGCTGGGACTACAGGCATGCTACCACACCTGACTAATTTTTCTTTTTTTTGTAGAGACTAGGTTTCATCACACCCAAACATGTCCTCAGGTCCCCCTGAATCCTCCCCTCCTCATCTCCTTCCCACCTGTGGATCCTGCAACCACTGCTTTCTGTCACTGTAAGTTGTATTTTTTAGATTTTTGTTCATAAATGAAATCATATACCATGTCATGTTTTCCATCTGGCTTCCTTCACTCAGCATAATCCTCTTAGGATTCACCCACACTGTACATATCCATAGTTCATTCCCTTTTTATTGCTGAATAGTATTCCATTTCTTTTAGGTTTGATCTTTAAATGATTAGGATTAGTTGACCTCCAAGCCCCTTTCCAGCTTCAAAATTACTTTTTTTTTTTTTTTGAGTTGGAGTCTCACTCTGTCGCCCAGACTGGAGTGCAGTGGCCACTCCCGGCCACCGCAGCCTCCACCTGCTGGGCTCCGGCGATCCTTCCGCCTCAGCCTTCCACGTGGAACTACAGGCGCGCGCTACCACGCCCGGCTAATTTTTTGATTTATTGTAGAGATGAGGTCGCGCCAAGTTGCCTAGGCAGGTCTCGAACCCGCGGGCTCAGGCAATCCACTCACCTCAGCCTCCCAAAGGTGCGGGATTACAGGCTAAGCCACCGAGCCTGGCTCAAAATTACTTTCTTTTATGATGTTTCTCAAGCACTCAGGCATGATCATCTACTTTCTGCCAGACACAATGGGGAAGGCAGTGAGAGAGGAGACACTGAGATTCTCCCTGGCAGCAACATCCCCAGAAGGTATGGAAGACACTCCTCCAGACTGTCCTTTTCTCTAGGGTAGGGAGAAAATACTAGAAATCTTTCTATTTAAAAACATTTCATTCAGCAGTTACAATATATGGATTGTCACTGGGACCTTCCCTGGGCTAGAATACATCACGTGGGCCAGGCATACAGTGACTCAGTCTGTAATCCCAGCACTTTGGGAGGCTGAAGCGAGAGGAATGCCTGAGTTCAGGGGTTCGAGATCAGCCTGGGCAACTTGGTGAGACCTCATCTCTACAATAAATCAAAAAATAAACTGGGTGTGGTAGCACATGCCTGTAGTTCTAGCTACTTGGAAAGCTGAGGCGGAAGGGTCCCCTAAATCCAGCAGGTTGAGGCTGTGGAGGTCATGAGTGTGCCTGCACTCCAGCCTGGGTGACTGAGTGAGACTCCAACTAAAAAAAAAGAACGCATCACATTTGCACAGGCATCTGGAAGGAGGCATGAGATTCTCACCAGGGAGGAGGGAGTCATGGTAAATTCTATTGTTTCTGTGCTGCAGGATGTCAACAATAAGGCTGATCTTATAAAGACAAGATGCTTAAACACCAGGATCTATGCAAGTTTTGTGAGCTACAGTACCACAAAGAGGTTCACTTACAACAAAGTACCTGAAAGTTGTGCTATGAAGAGAAGTGGCACTTAGCCAAGTTTTCATTTGACATTATTTTGTGACTTAAAAACGATATGGTTGTTCAAAAGTTAATTCAAAACAGACAATATTTAGAAGAAAATGTGGATGAAAATCTTTGTGACCTTCTGTTTGGAAAAGAATTCTTAGATACTAAACCAGAAACACATCCTAAAAAAGAAAAAACTGAAAAACAGAACGCTATCAGAATCACTACACATTAGAAAGGTTAAAAATTTTTTTTTAACTGACAAAACTAAGTGCTGGCAAGAAAGAACATGCTGCAACTGGAACTCTGAAACATTGCAAAATGGTACAGCTCCTTTGGAAAAGAGTTTGGCAAGAGTTTTCATTTACCCAAGGGAAATGAAAACCCATGTTCACACAAAAGTCTGTATGAGAATGTATTTTAGCAGCTTAATTCATAATAGTCCAAACTGGAAACAGCCTAAATGTCTCTCAATTGGTGACTAGATAAACATATTGGTATATCCATATTATACTACCCTGTGATAAAAAGGAACAATTGATCAACAGAACAATTGATCAACAGAACAACATAAATGCATTGTGATAAGATCAGTGGTTGCCAGAGATTATAGGTAAAGGGAAAGCTTGACTACAGGGGAGATGGAATTGTTCTTTTTTTTTGGATTAGAGTCTCACTCCAACTGTAGTACAATGGCATGCTCACAACCACCCCCACGTTGACCTGCTGGGCTCAGGCGATCCTTCCGCCTCAGCCTTCCAAATAGCCAGAACTACAGGCACATGCTACCACACCCGGTTAATTTTTTTATTTACTATAGAGATGAGGTCTCACCAAGTTGTCTAGGCTGATCGCAAACCCTTGAGCTAAGACAATCCTCTCACCTCAGTCTCTCAAAGTGCTGGGGTTATAGACATGAACCACCTTTGCCCTGTAACAGAATACAGTCTTATAATCACTGTTAGACTATGCATTTGTAACATGATAAGACTATGTAATATTTTTGCTTGTTTGTTTGTTTGTTTGTTTGGCTCTTTTTTTTGAGTTGGAGTCTCACTCTGTCGCCCAGACTGGAGTGCAGTGGCCACTCCCTGCCACCGCAGCCTCGGCCTGCTGGGCTCTGGCAATCCTTGTGCCTCAGCCTTCCAAGTAGCCGGAGCTACAGGTGTGCAATACCACACCCGGCTAATTTTTTTTTTTTTATTTATTGTAGAGATGAGGTCTCACCAAGTTGCCCAGGTGGGTCTCGAACCCGCAAGTTCAGGCAATTCACTCACATCAGCCTCCCAAAGCATGAGATTACAGGCTGAGCTACCGAGCCCAGCCTGTAATATTGTTCTTTGGTCCATGGAGATTAAAAAAAAAAAGGCTATGTAAAAGACTATAAAATCACAAAGTTCTTAGATTATATATTTGTTAAAGCTCATAGGACTGCATACCAAAAGAGTGCATTTTACTGTGTGTAAATATTAAAATAAAAATTTAAAAATTAAATGAGCCGGGAGTGGTAGCATGCACCTGTAGTTCCAGCTCTTGGAAGGCTGAGGTGGAAGGATTGCTGGAGCCCAGCAGGTCGAGGCTGCGGCGGCCGGAAGCGGCTACTGCACTCCAGTCTGGGTGACAGAGTGAGACTCCAACTCAAAAAAAAAAAAATTATATATATCTATATTTTTTTACATTCTGTCATCTGGGCTGGAGTGCAGCAGCATCATTATAGCTCAACTGATCCTTCCACTTTAGCATTCTGAGTAGCTGGAACTGCAGGCATGTGCCACTATGCCCAGCAAACTTTTTAGAATTTTTTTGTAGAGACAGGCTTCTTGTTATGTTGCCTTGGTTGGACTCAAACTCTT